CATATGTCCCTTCATGATTCAACCACCATTCCAGAGGACATGCGTCCAGGTTGATGACGGGTTCTGCTTGATAACAATCCAAAGCAGTGCAGACCGACGCATGTTCATTTTCATCATCTGAGTCAGATGCCACCAGCAGAAGGCTGATTTTCTTTTTTGGTGGTTCAGGTTCTGTAGTTTCCGCATTAGAGTTTTGCTCTTTTAAGACTTCTGAAAGCATGCTCCACATCTCATCCTTCTGAGATTTTGGAAGGCACTTCCGATTCTTAAACCTTGGGTCAAGTGCTGTAGCTACCTTTAGAAATCTCACATTGGTACCTTCTTTGCGTTTTGTGAAATCTGCAGTGAAAGTGTTCTTACAATGAACAACATGTGCTGAGTCATCATCCGAGACTACTATAACATGAAACATATGGCAGAATGCGGGTAAAATAGAGCTGGAGACATAATTCTCCACCAAGGAGTTCAGTCACAAATGTAATTAACACACTTTTTTTAACAAGCGTCATCAGCATGGAAGCATGTCCTCTGGAATGGTGGCTGAAGCATGAAGGGCCATACGAATGTTTAGCATATCTGGTATGTAAATACCTTGCAATGCTGACTACAAAATTGCCATGCGAACCTCTGTTCTCACTTTCAGGTGACATTGTAAATAAGAAGTGGGCAGCATTATCTCCGGTAAATGTAAACAAACTTGTTTGTCTTAGCAATTGGCTGAAGGGGAAGTAGGACAGAGTGGACTTGTAGGCTCTAAAGTTTTATATTGTTTTGTTTTTGAGTGCAGTTATGTAACAAAAAATCTACATTTGTAAGTTGCACTTTCACAATAAAGAGATTGTACTACAGTACTTGTATGAGGTGAATTGAAAAATACAGTTTATCATTTTTACAGTGCAAATATTTGTAATAAAAAATAATACAATGTGAGCAGTGTACACTTTGTATTCTGTGTTGTAATTGAAATTAATATATACCTCTACCCCGATATAACGCTGTTCTCTGGAGCCAAAAAATCTTACCGCGTTATAGGTGAAACCGCATTATATCGAACTTGCTTCGATCCACTGGAGTGCACAGCCCCGCCCCCCCGGAGCGCTGCTTTACCGCATTATAGCCAAATTCGTGTTATATTGGGTCGCGTTATATCGGGGTAGAGGTGTATTTGAAAATGTAGAAAAACATCCAAAAATACCAATTGAAATTTATTAAATATTCTATTGTTTAACAAAGCGATTAAAACAGAGATTAATCGTGAGAGTTATCGGCCATTAACTGACAGCCTTAGACAGATTTTTCTGTAGGAGTTTTTACGTTCATATAAACTCTTTCTTTTGCTTTTGGTCTTTCAGGCTCAAGTTTCCCCGTGTTTGTACGACCAGGAAAGACAAGATTCTTTTCCAGCTGAGGCAGAGGAAGAGCCGACCTCACATGCTGAGCAGGAGGTGAATCACAAGCCCAAAATCTGCAGGCTGGTGAAGGGTCCTAGTGGATTCGGCTTCCGTTTGGATGCAACCAAGAATATGCCCATGCATTTCATCAAAGAGGTACTAACCTAGGACTTTTAGCCTGGGAGAAGCATAAGACACCAGAAGGGAAGTGTCTGGGCTACAGTTAGACATCCATTCCCTTCCTTCTGTGCTGTGACTGCACTCAGAGCAAGTCATTCTAAGCCATTTGTAACAAAAAGGCAAGGTCTGTCCTATGTGCTCTTGGCTGATAGCAGAGTTTTAGTCCTTGAACTCAGGATGAATTCATACCCCTAGAGGTGAAAGGATGGTCTTGTGATTAAGGTACAGGAGTGGGAGTGAGGAGACCTGGGATATATTCCTAGCTCTGCAAAACTTCTGGGGTAAATTGCATAACTTTTGTCTGTATTTTCTCTTCTTCCTTAATACTTCTCTAACCCGCAGGGGTGTTGTACTGAATATAATAATATATGTAAGGGATCAGAGATCCACAAGACACTATACAAATGTAAAATACAACAAACCATTCTCTGATCCCTTAAGTACCACAGTTAAGTCTACATACCACCACCATGGCCTCTTCCCCACAACAGAAGTCCTATCCAAGTCAAAACCCATTACAGGACTGGTAATAAAAGTGGATATATTGGAATACTATGTTAAAGTCTCATCCTTTCTCCTTCTCCAATTAAGTTCTGCTCCAGAATAATTTTTTCCAATCCTTACTCTACCTCCTGTATTGGGGGGGAAAAAAATCATAGAACATTCATTCTCTATAATACTTGGGTGTTAATGCAACTTTAATGGTATTGTGCTGGTATCACAGCTTCAGAGCCTCTGTTTGCAGATACGGAAAGGTGGGCCAGCTGATGCAGCAGGACTGGAAGAGGAGGACATTTTGGTGGAAGTGAATGGCGTGAATGTACTGAACGAAACCTATGATAAGGTTGTAGCAAAAATCAGTGACAGTGGTGACAGATTGACACTACTGGTGTGCAGAAAAGCAACCTATGAATATTTTAAGTCTCAGAATATTCCTATTACTGCCTCTCTGGCAGATCAGCTATATGACACTACTGATCCTCCTGCATATACAGAGAACCCACCAGCAGAGCCAGAGAGGACCTCGCCGGAACCAAGAGAAAGGGTGGGTAATCTTGAGTTAACCAAATCTTGTGGACCAGGTGGTGGGGAAAGGAACCTGAATCAGTCACTAAATTCACTTGAGGGAGGGTCTATGAATTCTAGTTGTATTCTGGATTTACCAGATCTGATCTATGTTAATTAGTATGGAGTGGCAGACCTGGTTACAGTAGGATAGAACTGCCTCCTCTCTCTAGTCCCCACACGCAGTATCTACTGGAGCCTGGGAAGGGAGGACAGGAGAGGGGAGAGAGAGAGAGTGCGTGTATGCACGTGTGCATATGTGAGAGAGAGCATGAGAGAGAGCATTCATTAATGTAGGTGAGAACCATATCCTCAGGAATTCTTTGTTCAACCACAGGACCCAAGTAACTGTGAACATGGGAAAACCATGTGAAGTACTCTAAACCAGTGCTGATTCTTTGGTGGGCGTGGGATGGGTAGACTGTGACAAAGTGGGATCAACAAAGGTCCTGAGAAAAAATAAATATTCTGACCACACTGGTTCAGGGAAATTATGCCAGCAACAAGAGTTTGAAATTTGCTATTGTCAGAAAAATGACACCTGTACTCAACTGCTCTGATCCCTATGTGGATTCAGGTCTTTGCTGTGAAAAATAAACAAGTTTTTACTCCCGTTCATGCAGGAGATACAATAAAGCTAGGAAGGAACGAACTGGATTCTATTCCTCCACATGTATTATCACCAGAATTGTTAACTAAGTTCCAACTGCAGATTCTTACAGTGATGTCTTATGTCCCAGGCTGAATTTGCAGAGCTATAGTTAAACCCTTCTTTTTATCTGTGACCTTGGTCGATTTGATATGGAAGTTGAGCAAGAACATGGAATTCCCACTAGACAATTTAGTCGCTTTGTAAAGTGCATTTAAAAGAGTAATTCACTAAGCTTCTCACGTAAAGGCAAATTCCTACTGGGCATAGGTTCAGAACAGACTGTTAGTTCACAGTGGCATGAGGAATCTCTATCACATTATCTACAACTATAAAATAATCAGAAATTTCTACTTATTACTTTTCCACAGGCCAGCTCCTCCTCCTCCTCTTCACTCTCAATCGCCTCAGCAGAAGAGGATGATGACACACAGTTATGATGAGATAGACCACAACAGAAATCAATCAGACATCTTCCAAGGTTTAAAGAAAGTTCTCTTCCTCCAAGCAGTCTGTTCTTTTTCCTCCCAGAACCACACTGTGCTATGGAACTTCATACTTGTGAGGACTGGAACAGCAACTTCCTTCTAACTAACTTTCCCTGAAGGGGAACAATCCCACCACCCCCAAGAACAAACACTCACTTACCTAATGCTGCTAATCGTAGTTCACTGGTCTTCTGCCCGGTGAAATGGACAGTTACTTACTTCTACTATTGCTCTGTAAAAGCTTAAATGACTAATCAGGAACATCTGCCATCTTGCGGGGGAGGAAATGTGATTCACAAATCAATAAGCACAAGAAAGCTCCTTAATATAGAAATTGATCTCTCACATCCCCCACAAGAGACTTCTTTCCTCCTAATCACTGTGGCTATTACATGCTATATTTACTGTAGTAAAATCAGTTTAACCCAGTAGATGTAATATATCATGATAAGCTAATATATTCTGTGAAGAACACTTTTCACTTGCTAACAAGCTGTCGATATTGTCCATTCAAAACAATAGGTTAACTTAATAGTTCACTGTTCAGAAGCTACAAGCACCATTCCCTCCACCCCACTCTCCTAGCTGCAGATCATGGCAGTTTGAACAGTGTCTGTAATTCAGTGTAAACAGCTTTGTTTGCCTACATGCCAACACCTTGTCTCTAATGCAATATGAACCAGCTCTGTAGTACCGATAGTGGATGCTATACCTCCTTGGTGTAAGCTTGAGACAAAGCATAAATAAATCATTCAGCGTGGCTTTCCCGGGTCTTACTCCTGCCATCTATGATGTATGTTCCACAACAGCTTTAAAATGAGCAAGATCTGGAGAATGGTTTTCAGGAAGCTGTACGTTTAAGTTGCATGGGTGAAATTTACCTTAGTGACTTGCATTAAGCCAACAAAGGACATGGGCTGATGTAGAATATATCGGTCAGTGGGGAGCACTGAATTTCTAGTGTATAACGTAAACTAGTTATAGCTACCATCTTTGACTTCGCGCTAAACTCCAGTGAACAGTAACCCAAGGCATGGATTCTGATTCATTAGGCCCTAAATGGTAACAAAGGACTGACTTCCAGTTCCTAAGGAAGCTAGATACTAATCATGCACATCTCCCATGAATCTCAATCCACTTCCCCCTCTGCCAAACAATGACATTCACACACTTCCTCATCTTCATTAAGGTCCCTGGGACTGACACAAACAATTATGCTGCTAGTGGTGAGGTATTACGAAAGCTGATTTAATTTCACAGACTCAGACATTCAGATCCAGAATCAACACCGTCCAACTCTGGATTAAGACTGATTTGTTTTTAAACTGAAATCACGTTTCCTCGGTGTCCTTTACGCAGAATTCTTCTACCTGTGATTTTAAGAGGTCTCTCTTCATACCATCCTTGGCAGATTTTTCAATACCATAAGACACACCTGTCCCATGGAGTTTCCTATTCCGTGGCTCTCAGCTGTCCTCCACTTTTCTCCTGCCTCTGCTGTTTGTTCAGCTCATGGCACCCTCTTCACAGAATGAGCCATATAGCTTCTAAGTGCAACTGTGGAAGTCAGAAGGGCCAATTACATCATCAGAGCACAGAAAGAGCTGCCCTCCCTCTGTCCAAATCCTGTCACCCCTAATGAGTTGCAGTAGTCCACCAGAAGGGATTATAGAACAGTGGGCAGAACTGGAATGGATTCAGAGCGCCATGTGCTTCTCTGGGGCCTGTTTATGTGCCAAGTAGAGGAAAAGGATGCTGGAGAGAGCGCTAACCAGGAATATCACATCAAACCAACGGTGATAGAAATTGAACTGCAGCTCCCCCAAGACTTCTGTAATGATAGTGCGATACTCCGGGGGCATACTCATCCGGATTAGGAGCACAGAAGAGACGAAGTACATCCCCTGGAGATAAGATACAGGAAGCGCATCAGTTAACTGCTTCACAGGTGGCTATTTTGCTGAGATGGGTCAATATGATAAAAGCTCACTAGCAGGTCTGGATACTCACCATGATCTGTGCCAACAGCAGAACAATAACATTGGAGGACTTGCTGCTGGAGATGGCATAGAAGAACTGTAAAGAGGAAAAAAAAGTACTGAAAATAGGACTCTCATCACCAGGCATGTTTGTGCTCCCTTCTACAGGCACATGGAAGGAATACCTGCTCCAATCATTCCCCTTTAGTCCTAGAAACCAGCACTGAAGGAAAAAGACATGCTTCCTAGATGTGTATGTACACCACACCTTTCAAAGATACAGACATGGGCCTTGTCCTCAGTAGAGCTACAAGTGTTTTAACATAGGTCCCACTAAACCAACTACTAACACTGCATGGCCAGCCAGTGTGGAGAATCCAGTTTTAAAAAACAAAAAACAACCCAAAATACATTCTAGCCTAGGTACCCTAAGCCCAGTTTACTGGCCAGCATCGATGGGTCACCCTGTTGTGTGTTGCCAGTTTTCCCCCGTGGTTGTACTAAAGCATTAATCCCCTACCTGCTCCCCAGAAATAGCTAGCAGTGTAAATGAAGCAACCCAAGTCCTCTTAATCGCCATTCAATACCCAATACTAACAGATCCAGGCTTCCACATCACTGTTATGCCTTGTCTACATTACACTTCGTCTCTTAAAATTTCCCAATCTTACTACCACTGATAGTAAAAAAACAGTGGAAGGGCTAATATAAACTGCTCACAGGCGGCAACCAGGGATTAATCACTAGATCTGTTCTGAGAAATTAGAAAGCCTGCTGATTAAAACAATGGAAGCCAATTTACACTAGCATGACTACTGTTGGTAGCAACAGGGAGATTTTTTTTTTTTTTTTTTTTTTTAAGAGAGGAAGTCTAGGGCAAGGAGAGAGTCTCAGATTATTCTAAGAGTTTTAAAACATTTATAATACTATTTACAGCCCTAACATTAACACCATTCCTCTGCTTGGACTGGAGGCACTAATAGATTGTGCACTGCATTTAGTGACGGAAATTGATGAAAGAATTCTCAATAGGACCATACCCAAGATAAGCCAGGAAAAGTTATCCTCCCCTTCTCTAATTCAGCCATAAAAGACTTTTTTCTCCATCCCACTCCCTGCAAGGACTTCTATCCCAGCCTTCCTCATCCCCTATTTGTCTACTAACTGAATAGAGACCACAGGTCCTACATTTGTACTGAAGGTTTACACCAGTGGTTTAAGATTTCCAAAGGGGTCCGCACCTCCATTCAAAATTTTTTTGGGATCCACAAATGAAAAAAGATTGAAAACCTCTTGTTTACACAATGTTCTCTTGACTAAATTAGAAATACACGCAAGCTCTCCTGGACTGCTATCATATAAGAGGGCTCTGGCCAGGCGTACCTTTGTGAGTGTGATCAGTAAGCCTCTGATGGAGGTGACGATGATTATTCCAACGAGGATAAAGGAAATGTGCTGAGACCAGAATTTTACCTGCACCAACAAAAACAGGAAATTGTTAAATCCCTGGGGCCAGGCATTTGAAGAATGTGTGTGGATGTGCACTTAACAGGATCTCTGAATTCTCATACTGTGCAGATACTCACTGTAGAGAAATTTACATACAGGTATATATTCTCCTGCAAGGGCACAAAGATGGGTACTTTCATGTGCAAGTGCTTACTCTACACACATGGGAAATGCACAGATCTAGCCTATGTGGACTTCATGGAAGGAACTGAGGGTTCAGATGTGAATATTTATAGAGTAAATACAAAAGAACACACATCTATTTGGTACATAAAGGTAACTGCCTTGTAGATACATGTAATATACTAGGCAAGGTTCCTCCGTGTTTCCATCTTTTCACAATAAACATGTGAACCACTGCCCTCTTCTGGATAGCTGGTATATGGCTACAACAAGCAGAGGAGATTATTATTATTATAGGAAGGGCTGGTAGCCCCATCTATCATTAAGGTTGCCCAACACATTTCATTATAAGACCCTCTTTTCAATTGGTTATAACTTGGCCAAATTTTAATTATTTGGGCTGAAATTTTCCATGGAAAGTGTCTGCCTCAAAATTCCAAAAAGTTTCAGTCCAAACAATTCAGCCATTTCCAAAAACAAGGCTACGGAAAAGTACATTGTTTTGACCATGTTAAAAAATTCTGGAGATCTTTTCTTTGAAAAGCAGTAAAGCCTCCATACGTTGGAGTAGGGCTTGAAATTTGGGAGGGATATGCCCTTTGACATCCTTGTCAAAATCCACCCAAATCTGTCCAAGTTACATAAACCTGAGAAAAAATGCAGTTTGCATAGACTTGGTAGAGACCTGCTGGAATGCAGTTATATTCCCTGCAGATTCCATTCAGATTGAAAATGCTCCAGCCTGAGGCTCAGCAGGACTTTCCCTGAAATTGCAGCTCTGAGCTGCTGGGGATTGTGCCAGGTCCAGCAGGGTGGATTACAATCTATCATTTTTCTTTTAATCAGATATTTTTTATTGTTGTTTAAATTACAATACATTTTTCTTTTTAAAAATAAACCTGTTCAAAATTAAATCTTGATTTAATATAAAAGACATTAAGGCCTAAACTTCCAACAATTTTTTTGTAAATGTGAAAAACATTTTGATAAGAGAAGCTTATGTATACAAAACATTTAAGGTTGTTTTGTTTAATAAATATAAATATATGCTGTTTTGTGTATTTAAATAACTTCCAGTTACCATCCTAATGCAGTTAGATACAAATAATGAGCAAAAAGTTAATTATCTAGTAAATAATATCTCATTCACTATTTTCTAACACACTAAAAATGTAGAATTAAAAAGAATCTGAAAATATTAAGCTATATAATTGCTTTAATAAATGTATATATAGTGTTGTATCTTCCTAGGTAGCAAATAGGTTCTATCAAATCTAGTGTAAGGGCTCTATTTAGCTGTAAATCAATGTTTTAATGGTTAGATCAACCCATGAGAATGTACCTTCTTTTAGAAGGTAACTGAAGTACAAATAGAAAAGTTGATTAAAAATCATTGATCAAAATAGAGGCTTTCCACTTAGTGATTTAAATCATTATTTAAATTGCCTTGATTTAAATCAATCCATCCTGAGGTCCAGACACCTAAACTGAGATCAGGGAGCCTGTCTCTGCTGTGCTCTCTATTATTACCCTTCCTCCTTCTGCATCTGGTCCAGGAAGCCTGAGGGAGGAACCGGGGTGGGGGGGGGAGAGAGAGGGAAAAAATAGTATGTTATCATTAGGACCCTATCAAATTCATGGCCATGAAAAATGAGTCATGTCTCACCCATGAAATCTGGTCTTTTGTGTACTTTTGCCCTATACTATGCAGATTTCACCAGTGTTTCTCTAACTGTAGGCCCCGACCCGAACGGGAGTTATGGGGGAAGGGGGGCAAGGTTATTGTAGGAAGGTTGGGTATTGCCACCCTTATTTCTGTGCTGCCTTCAGAGCTGGGTGGCCAGAGAGCAGAGGCTGCTAGCCAGGCACCTAGCTGTGAAGGCAGCGCCCGATCATGACATCTTTACTTCTGCGCTGCTGCTGGCTCCTGGCAAGCAGCCACCACTCTCCAGTCAGCCAGCTCTGATGGCAGCACCACTGCCAGTAGCAGTGCAGAAGTAAGGGTGGCAATACTGTGATCCCCCACCACAATAACCTTGCAACTCACCCCCCACAACCCTCTTTTGGGTCAGGATTCCTACAGTTACAACACTGAAATTTCAGATTTAAATATTTGAAATCATGAAATTTATGATTTTAAAATCCTATGACTGTGAACCTGACCAAAATAGACCGTGAATTTGGTAGGCCCCTAGTGATCATGGAACTACAGACTGTACCAGAATGCATACGCACAAGAAAGCTGAATTAAGGCTGCACAAGCAACCTTAATGCTGGCATTTCCTAACTTTTGAGTGCTTGACGTCAAAACCTCACTCATGTCCTTTTAATGTAGTTTTGCGTGTGTAATTATTTATATAGTGCAGAGGTGGGCAAACTACGGCCCGCGGGACCTTCCTGGCTGGGGAGGCGCAATGCTCTGGGCAGAGGGGCGACGAGCTTCTGGGGCAGCGCAGCTGCAGAGCCCGGCCTGACCCGGTGCTCTGTGGTGCGTGGTGGCAACGGCGCGGCTGTAGCACCGCCAGCCACCAGTGCTCCAGGCAGCGCGGTAAGGGAGCAGGGAGCAGGAGGGGTTGGATAGTGGGCAGGGGAGTTCGGGGGGGTGAGCAGGGGTGTGGATAGGGGTCGGGGCGGTCAGAGGGCGGGGAACAGAGGGGGTTGAATGGGGGCAGAGGTCACGGGGGGGGACAGTCAAGAAGGAGGGGGAGTTGGATGGAGTGGCAGGGGACAGGGGTTCTGGGTGCAGTCAGGGG